TTATTCAGAATTATTTTTGCATAAATGTAATAGACGTTTGGAGGTTAAATGTGTTGAAATGAAAAGAATAAAACAGAAACATCCCTAATGTTTTTTTTTTATAATTTATATTTTATAATGTATATATACTTTAGTATATTTTATTATTCACATATAATTTACATTTTATAATTTCTTCTTATCTGTTTGTTCATTAGATTCTCTCAAACCAGGCAGTTCCTTCATATTTCCACTGGGCTGTTTACAAACACGAGAGGTTACCCGCGTTGATGCAAATGAGGCTCATTAGGGGGCAAATTCAATAAGATTATAATTAACCAGAACAAGAGCGGTTACCTGTGACACAATGGTGTGTTGTGATGACTGAGCCGTTTCTTGGAGTGTTTGCAGTGACTCACCGAACAGGTCGTCTCGGGCCAGAGCGTAGAGCACGCGGGACGCTCCGATCAGGTTACTCATGGCAGCCGACAGCGTGGAGGAGTAAACACCGATCGTCACGAACGGATGCCAGACGTTTATATCTGTGAGGAAACCGTAATCCTGCTGCAGGAGGATCCTGAGAGAAAACAGAGAAAACACCTCACTCTGAGACTCTGAGCGTGTTACTTAGTGTAGTATACTTAACATGTGCAGAGCAGTGGTTTGAGCACAAGCTGCCTGTCAAATATAAAACAGATTTTTTTTTTTTTATTATTAACAAAATGAGCATAGCTTAAAGGAGACAAAAATATTGACATAACGTACTTAAAAACATGAAGAAAAAAAAATTTTGTTACTTAAGCTTTAAGTGAAATATGATTAAAATATATATAAAAATGTAACTTTCAGCTATTTCAACATCTCATTTTCATTTACAGTAGTTTAACTTCATGTACTAAAATAGCTAAAACTGAAATAAAAATTAGGGGTGCTCCGATCAGGATTTTTGAGGCCGATCACAGAAAGCAGTATCTGCCGATACCGGATTTTTAGACATTTATTCAGGGCCTGAATTTCCATTATAATTATTTCACCCGCGCCGGACAGAGACTGAGACGGTGCGCTGCATGTCGTGCCAAACCTCTCACGGCAGACGCGTCATCAGCTTGAGATCGTTTTTTGAGATCGGTCTTTTAGAGACCGCCGATCAATCATCTTAACGTGATTATCGGCCGATAATGATCGGTAGCTGATCAATCGGAGCACCCCTAATAAAAATGAATAAAAATATATGTAAAAAAAACACACAAACTTACTAAAACAAAACAAAAAAAAAATTATTCTAAATATTGAGAAAAACTATAATAGTATCTCAATGATACTACACACTGCAGTGCTGTTATTGTTTAAAAAAAAACATTAAAAAATGTTTTCGGTATTTAAAATTAAAAGAGATGTTGCCTTGGCAACTAACTGAAATAAGTTTAAATAAGTACTAAAATGGCTAAAACTACAACTAAATTTAAATGCATGGAAATATCTTAAAAATGTATTTAAATAAAATAAAATATTTAAATAAATTAACTTTTAAAACATGCTAAAACATGTAAAGAAATTTTTTTTTTTGTTACTTAAACGTTAAGTGAAATATGATTAAAATATATAAAAATTTAACTTTCAGCTATTTCAACATCTCATTTTCATTTAGTTTAGCTTCATGTACTAAAATAACTAAAACTGAAATAAAACTTTATGAAAATACATGATAAAAAAAAATACAAAACCACACAAGAAACTTACTAAAACAGAAAATAAAATAAATACAAATTAATACAAATTATAATAGCATCTCAATGATATTACACTGCAGTGCTGTTATTGTTAAAAAACATAAAAAAATATTTTCGGTATTTAAAATGATTATAAATATTAAATGAAAAACTTTTTTGAAAAACACAATTTATAGTGTATATACAACAATTTAAATGCATGGAAATATCTTAAAAATTCATTTAAATAAGATAAAAATATTTAAATAGGTTTACTTTTAAAACATGCTAAAACATTAGAAACTGTTTCAGTGTTGATATTATTAACAAAATCAACTAAAAACGGTTGCACTAATTGAAAATTCATAAATGATGAAATTAAATAAATCACATAATAAAAAAAAGCTCTTTTCTCTTGAAACTCTTCTCACGCATTCATTCAGCTCCAGCGCTTTTAATAGCATCACCGCAGCTCTATCAAGTATTATACAGACTAACTTCAGATCTGAACACACGATTATTCCATCTCTCACACACACACACACACACACACACACACACACTCACACACACACAGACTAAAGACGCGAGTTGACAAGTCTGTATGAAATAGAAAACGTCAATCGTCCGTCCATCCGTGCACTACATATCTTTTATATGGAGGTATTAATTCTGCGGACAGGAGCCGAATGAATGTAAATACTGACAGCTGCAAACAAACACAACTATTAGAAAAACAGAACGAGAGACAGACGTGTCATGTTCATCCTCGCCATGGATCGGCTCGCGCTGGAGCTGTGCAGAGATTACTGATCTGTGCGGCGGGAAAGAAACTAAATAAAAACAGGCCAGACTAATGAACAGGTTCAGCAGAGCTTAATTGTCCAAATCCGCCTGTTAGTCATTAGTTAACTAGTTTACAGCAGCTGTAGAGTTGAGAGAGAGAGAAAGTTATGAAAACATCCATTCATCACATCACAAACTCACACTCGAACCATGCTGAACACACACAGGCTAAATTACTAGAGTTTGCATGTTTACAGACAAAAAAAGCACCAAATCACCCATAAAAAAGCAAATTAAATTAAATTAAATTAAAAAATATATATAAAATATAAAATAAAATAAAATAAAAAATTATTAAATTAAATATTTATAATATTTTTTTATTAAACATTTATAAAAACTACACAGATGTGAAAAAATAAATATAAATTTAAAAAAAAACTACAACTTTTACTATGTAAACTAAAATTAAATTTAAAGCTTAAAATATATGAAAATCAAATTCAAAATCTCGACAAAAACTAATAGTATAGCAAAAATACCACTGGTCAGTTATCTCCTTGATTAATTAATTAATCTGATATTTGAGACTGCACTGTAATAAACTACAGCATGTGCAAAAAATAGTTACTAGAGTTTGCATGTTTACAGACAAAAAAAGCACCAAATCACCCATAAAAAAGCAAATTAAATTAAATTAAATTAAAAAATATATATAAAATATAAAATAAAATAAAATAAAAAATTATTAAATTAAATATAAAATAAAATATATTTTTTAAAACAATAATAAAATATAAAATAAAATAAAAACAATAAAAAATTAAATTAAATTAAATAAAAAAAATGTAATAAAATAAAATAATCAGAAATCAGAAATAATTTTGAACAAAGAAAATTAAGCCTATTTTTAATACTTAGTTTTTTGTATTGTGACATTTTTTCTCCTGGAGAATTATAAAAGTAAAACAAATACTAACAAAAACAGCATAAATAAAAGGCTGCCATGATTCTTTTGAAATAAAATTAAATACAATGCATCATTATTTTTTTTCTTTACAATAATGAGAATTAATGCATTTAATTGTCAAAATTTCACAATAGAAAAAAATACGAACTAGGCAAGATATAATTGTATTATTATTATTTTATTAAAGTTAAGAGACGTTCACACTGACAGCAACTTTTAGAGATAAAGTGACCAAACGTTTAGGTTAGCATCTCACAAATATTACGATAATTGTTTTATCAATTACTGTCATTTGCAGGTTTATTATTTTAAACTAAAAATAAAACCATAAAAAACATTTACATAAAACAAAATATAACTGAACTGAAATCAAATCAAATGTTAAAAAACGTAACATTTTATTGCAGCTAGTTGCTAAGGCAACATTTATTATTTTTGTTTTAGTTTAAGTTGAATTACTAAAATAACTAAATAAATAAATCAAAGTAATTTATTATATTAATAATTATATAAATATTAATACAGTAAATATAATAATTATTATAATTTATTATTATAAATTTTATATTATTATATTATAATAAAATATAATATAATAACATTTTATATTATTATAAATTTATAATATTTTTTTATTAAACATTTATAAAAACTACACAGATGTGAAAAAATAAATATAAATTTAAAAAAAAACTACAACTTTTACTATGTAAACTAAAATTAAATTTAAAGCTTAAAATATATGAAAATCAAATTCAAAATCTCGACAAAAACTAATAGTATAGCAAAAATACCACTGGTCAGTTATCTCCTTGATTAATTAATTAATCTGATATTTTAGACGGCACTGTAATAAACTACAGCATGTGCAAAAAATAGCTTGCCACTGATGTTTCTCCACGCAAAGACCCGATTAACTGTTAACGAATATTCAGTCATTATCAATTAGCAGCTGCAGCCTTACAGACGCCATTCATTTTCAATGTGCTTTAGATTTACAGCGACATAAGCAACGTGATGTGAAGATGAGAAAAGTGTAACTTTATGCAAATGAGCTCAGCAGCCATGTGACACATCCACAACCAATAGGAATGAAGACAACAGCGCTACATGATCAGTTAGTCCCAAGTACATGAAAACAAGTACACACTTACAGCAGAGCTGTTTTACAGGCAATGCATGCCGTTTGTGATCACATGCTCAATGCTACGGTCAGAATAAAGCGAGGCCCTCCGTCTCCAACAATCAGCAGGTTACACAGAGAAACACCACGAAACACGTCAGCGTCACGAGGTGCTGCACTTTAAAGGGGACTTTTCTCGATCTTTCGGAAATAAAACTTATTGATTATTGATGCACAAACTCTAAATGCATTTATCCAGTCTAAAAAGAGCCTTTATTCACACTAAACTGAAATTAAAGGCTCATTGAACATCAAACACGGATATTATGGTTGACTAAAACCAAAACCAATAAAAAATGTTTTTTTTAAAAGATTGTTACCTAAACACAACTAATAATACCTGATAAAATAAATTTTAATTGACATTATATATATATATATATACACATATATACATACAAACTGTATATAAAATTAAACGTATTTTATTTGAGTTAGTTTCCAAGGCAAAATTTCCCATTTTTATTTAGAAAAAACTAAAAACGGAATTTTATTAAAACTAAAAACTGAAGAAAAAAATTAAATAAAATCAATATAGACATATTCAAAAACAACAGAAACTAATTAAAATAACCAACAAAAACACACAATAAAATTACTAAAACTTTAACTAAAATTAACATGACAGCAAAAAACATGAAAATAAAAATAGAAATAAAAAAAATAAACAAAAAAAAACAATAATAGTTTTATCTCATCCGGATCCTTCTGAAGAATCTCAAACTTAGTGGCTTTAGTTTTTCGTCTAAAAAGAGCCTTTATTCACACTAAACTGAAATTAAAGGCTCATTGAACATCAAACACGGATATTATGGTTGACTAAAACCAAAACCAATAAAAAATGTTTTTTTTAAAAGATTGTTACCTAAACACAACTAATAATACCTGATAAAATAAATTTTAATTGACATTATATATATATATATATACACATATATACATACAAACTGTATATAAAATTAAACGTATTTTATTTGAGTTAGTTTCCAAGGCAAAATTTCCCATTTTTATTTAGAAAAAACTAAAAACGGAATTTTATTAAAACTAAAAACTGAAGAAAAAAATTAAATAAAATCAATATAGACATATTCAAAAACAACAGAAACTAATTAAAATAACCAACAAAAACACACAATAAAATTACTAAAACTTTAACTAAAATTAACATGAAAGCAAAAACATAAAAATAAAAATATAAATAAAAAAAATAAACAAAAAAAACAATAATAGTTTTATCTCATCCGGATCCTTCTGAAGAATCTCAAACTTAGTGGCTTTAGTTTTTCAACAAGATCATAGTTTAAAATAAATAAAATAAATAAATAAATAAATCACAGGATCTGGCAATAAAAAGATTATTAGATTATCATTATTAAATTATTGTTTAATTCTAACATCATGTCTTAACCTATAAACTATAAAATACTATACATTTTATTATATTATATACAAACTATTACGTGAAATAACTTAATCAAAGAAGTAATAAAAATTAAAATAAATACATTAAATAAATTTTTAAAAATCACACTATTTCTAAATTACTAATTCTGCAATAATGACACACAATTTACAGATTCTGCAAAGTTTACAGCACCGTTCAAAAGTTTGGGGTCAGTAAGACTTTCCTTTTTTAAAAATAAATTAATATTTAATTAATATTTTAATTCACACATAGAAAACAGCTGTTTTACATTGTAATAATATTTCACTATTTTTACAGTGTTTTTGATCAAATAAATGCAGTCTTGATGAGCTCATCTCACCGACCTCAACTTCTGAATGGCACAGTATAAAGTGCAAATGGCATCTGCCTTTAAATAAGTGCTCAGCTCTCAGAGAGATGCGATCAAAAGTGAGAGAGACTGGAAAACACTGAGAACGAGAGGTCAAAGTTCATCATCTGCAGCAGTGAGACACAGAAACACAGATGAAGCACGACTCGCACACACAGACAGATGTTCAGGGGTTTCTCTCTCAACAGCGCTGCCACAAAGCATGAGTGACAGATTTAAACTAATACAATTAAACACTGAATGAATAAATGAACACACTATAACTGACTGACAGTCTGGGGAGAAACACACACACACACACACACACACACACCGTTTGGCTCGGCAACTGGTTTCCAATCACTGCTGATTCATTTATAAAATTCATTTATCATTATCATGAGCTCACACACACAGCCGTCCACAAACGCTTGACTATTTACTGTAATACAAGAGTGTGTTTATGCTACTGTACCTTTAAGAGTCATTCCACATGTCATTATGTATGCAAATGAGCTCTGTTCTGATTGGTCAACATAAAAGGAGTAAAATCGATAAGTTGTGGGTTTGTTTCTAATCACACAACTATGGCAGTTTATTTCTGCCACAGAATAAAAAAATAATAAAGGTATCACGACTTCTCATCTCACAATTCAGATTTGTCTTCTGAGAATTTGCGAGTTTATATCTCACAGTTTGGACTTCTTTTTTGACTATATATCTCAATTCTGAGTATATATATCTTATAATTCAGTTTTTTTTTTTTCAAAATTGTGAGAAAAATCATGGAATTTTTTATTTCACAATTCGGAATTTTCTTCTGAGTTTCCCCCACTGGGGGGAAAAAAAGTAATTTTTTTTTTTTTTTTTTTTTTTTAAATTGCGAGTAAAAAAAGTCTGAATTGTTTCCGCCAGAGAATAAAAAAAAAAAATGTAAATGTAATTTTTTTATCTCACAATTCTGACATTTTTCTCCTCACAATTCTGAGTATATATATCTTACAATTCAGAGTTTTTTTTGTTTTGTTTTTTCAAAATTGTGAGAAAAATCATGGAATTTTTTATTTCACAATTCGGAATTTTCTTCTGAGAATTGCAAGTTTGTATTTCGCAATTCTGAGTTTTAATCTTGCAAATTTGGGAGAAAAAAATCATTAAGATAAAAATTCAGAATTGTAATAAAATGTCAGAATTGTGACGTTAAATGTCGCAATTACCTTTTTATTTATTTATTTCTTTTATTGTGTAGCAGAAATAAGCTTCCATACAGTCATGTACATGTGATTACGTCCATCTACCTAACATCAGAAAGTCATTTTTGCTATTTAACTTTTTTTTTTAAAGCATCCTTTGTTCCTCTGCATAGGACGTTTTGCAACTCACAGTATGTTTTTATCATGCAATGAACACTTTTATTTCAAAAGATCAAGGACAATTTGATTTCTCCAGATGTGACCTTTAAAACTGTTGAATATTTCTCTTATTTTCATCATAAGCACCTTATGTGCGTGTTTGTGTGAGTCTGCCGGCGTTTTAATGTCGTACTGCCATCTGCTGGTCACTAAAGCGCTGCATGCACCTCCACTGACACAAAATGTCTTATTTTCACTTGATTAGGTGAATTAATATTTAATGTAGGACCACCCGCCTCCTCTGTTGTCATGGCGACGGGCAGAGGGTCTCCACAGCGACCAGTGTTCGGCATTTTGATGAGAAGCTGATTGATGGCTTTAATAATAACAAAAAAGGATTTTTAATCTCTAATGCTGATGTAATTTAATTCCTCTAATCAAACCCTAAACCATCTCTATCTCTCTGCTACCCAAAACAGATCAACTCTGCTCTTCAAAATCAATCATTACAGACAAGATTGATTGAATCGCTTTAGGGATCTCACTTAAAAATCATGTTTTAGGATTGTATGTGATGATTTAGACATTAAACTGGCGCTTTTTCAAACTTCATGGTATTTAAAGCAGGCTATTAAAAGTCCCAAAGACCACATACAAGCAGTAAGTTTTAGGACTGAAAGCTGCGCTTAAATCAGGGTTATTATTGTTAACTAAAATTAGAACACAAAGATTATTTGAAATAAAATAAACATCAAATAAAATAAAATATATATAAAAAAACCTAAACTTATAATATTTCAGCTAGTTGCCATGAGAACATTTCTCATTTTCATTTAGTTTAAATTGATGTACTAAAACAAAAACTTAAAAAAATATATATATATAGACATATAAAATATAATATATATGAATATATAATACATAAATACACTTAAAAAAAAAAAACTAATAAAAACGACAAAAACACACAATTACTAAAATGTTAACATATGAAAATGTCAAATAAATGAAACTGAAATAGAGAGAGAGAGAGAGTGTGTGTGTGTGTGTGTGTGTGTGTGTGCACCTGGTATTCCCTACATTATGAGGACCAAATGTCTCCATGAGGAAACAGTCTTATAAATCATATAGAATGAAGTGTTTTGAAAATCTAAAATAGCAGAAAGTTTTGTGTAAGGGGTAGGTTTATAGGGTTAGGTAGGGTAAGTGGATAGAAAATACAGTTTGTACAGTATAAAAACCATTACGTCTATGGAATGTCCCCACAAAAAATGGAAACCAGTATGTGTGTGGGTGTGTGTATATATATACTGTATATATATATATATATATTACCGGTCACATGTGCAGGAGATCAGTATACTCAGCAGGTTGTAGATGACGAAGGTGAAGATGACGGCTGTGATGGTTCCACGAGGAATGGAGTAGCTCGGGTTCTTCAGATCACCTTAAACATACAAACACACACGACAATACATTTAACCTTGGAACACAACACTACAAGTGAATATGTTAAAAAATTAACTAATACACTTCACCATACTTCCCCAGATGATTGAGTGCATTAAGAATTGCAAACATGTTTCGTATTACAAGTTTTCTGAAACGTTATGTTTAAATATACCAATGAGGCATTATCTGAATTAAATATGAACTAATTTGTGTACATCTCCAGAGAATAAATCTGAACATTGGATAAAGCCAGGTTTCAAAATTGATTTTGTTGACATATTAGAGTTAAAGGTTTTTATTGAGGGGATTTTGGATTTCTCTTTTTATCACTTCCTAAATCAAAAAACACTGTCAACAGACAGAAAAAATAAATTTTCGCCATGTTTTTAGGAATACATTGTTGTATAAATCAGTGTGAATGATATATTAACAAACCCTTCTATAAAATCCTTCAGAATATAGAGAGGAATAAAACTCTAAGTTTTGGTGTTTGTAAGTGTTACTGAAGTGGAGAAAAAACTCATTTTGAGAAAACGGCCTTTAAAGATACGTATTGTAAGTGAAATCGACAGAAGCAAATAGATAAAGTGCAAAAATAAAACCAGGCGAATGATGTATGAACAAACCCTTCTATAAAATCATTCAGAATATAGTTAGGAATAAAACTCTAAGTTTTGGTGTTTGTAAGTGCTGCAGAAGTGGAGAAAAATCTCTTTAAAGATAAGTATTGTAACTGAATTCTACAGACGTAAATAGATAAAGAGCAATGAAAACAACACTTAAAAGTGTATTTTGGAGTTTTCTTTCCACTAGTTTGAAACAACAAACAGTTGTTTTGACAGTTTATAATGACTTTCAGGGAAAATGTTTTAAAATAAAGACTGAGAGAGTTTTGGAAAGCTCAGTGGTGGTGTAGTTCATTTATAGCCCAAGTTTAGCTTTTTACTTCTGCCGATTGTATTTAAGCTTCAAAATGCATAGAAGTCATGTAAGTTCGTGAATATTATCGTGATGAACAAAATGTGTAAATATTATAAACCTTTAGGCTTATTTGCTGAAATAATCCAAAAGCCAATGGAAAAATCCTATTGGGTTTTTGTCGAGGGAACCAGAGTGATTGTAGCTTTCAAAAAAGATAAGTCATCGCTGCTGCTCTCTATTATCCACTACTAAACACACTTAACCTGCACACAAGAATTCAGTCTAACAAACAGTAGAAAAAGCTAACAAACAGCAATAAACAGTCCAGTAAACTCAACACCCACCGGACATGTTGGATCCAGCCATGATTCCAGTGCAGCCGTTAAACATCACCGCAAAAACAGAGGCGAAGGACATCATGACTCCAGTGGTGTAGTCCACTACGTAGTCAGCTAAACACACACACAGATCAACTGTCATGATAATTACAGTTACATGTATGCATTTAGCAGACACTTTTATCCAAAGCCACTTACAAAATAGGAACAAAAGCAAACTGTAGAAGAGCAACAATATTCATAATACACAATGCCTGGTTTATTAGACAACTAGATTAGGAAGCAAACTAGAGAAGAGGAGAAATGCAGAGAATGACAAGTGTTTTTTTGTATAATTATAATTATATATAAATGTAAATTTGAGTTAAAAGAGACATGGAAGAGAAAGCATGAGCTAACAATGAACAATTCTTCTACAGCGCTTATTAATCTTAGTAAATGTTAATGTCAACATTCAGTAATACGTGTTTTAAAATCAAAAGTTAACATTAATGTTATTAACGTGAAAAATGAACAACTTTTTTTATTAACATTAACAAAAATAAATTCATGCGAAAATTAATAATAATATTAATTACCTACCTGTACTTACTACATGTACTTACATTATTGACAAACTATTTGCCTGTTTAACACTGTAAAGCTGCTTTGACACAATCAGTATTGTATAAAGCGCTATACAAATAAAGGTGACTTTATGGTTTAGGCTAAGGTTAGGTTAAGTTATTTGTAATTATGCATAATTTACTGTTATTACTACAGGAAGTACATGTAACTACACCTTAAAAAAAATTATAAATATATATTTTTTTTTTCTCCCAACTATATCTCTCTCTCTCTCTCTCTCTCTCTATATATATATATATATATATATATATAATGATTATCTTTTTTTAGTAAGCATTTGATTTCATTTTCAAAGCTTTTTTTTTTATAAAATTGTATTTATTTTAAATTTACTCAATTTAATTTCACATTTATATGATTTATTCATCAGCTTTTCTCCAACTCACAGTCTTGAGAAGCTAAAAATATAACAAAAAATTTAAAACAAATATGGTTTTTTTTCACTTCAAAAGTGGTGTTAGTGTTTAGTTTCACTGCTTTAACAGTGACACTAATATGAGAACAGCTGATCTAATGTCATGTTACTAAAAAACGTGCTTAGGTTTGAAAGAACTAGCGGCCTTTAGTTACATAACGTGCATTGTACATGTGTGACAATCGGCTGGGTTATTCATGAAGCTGGTTAATTAATATCAAGTTAATACATCCGTTTCTTCATTCAGGAAGTGGCCTTTGGTCTTTTACAGAAGTGTGTGCGTTCCATTTCTCTGTTCTCTAATCAGACATGATATAAAACACTGAAAGCTGGTTACACATTAAAACCCATTGTAAAATCTCTCACCTTGCACGTTTCCCATCAGCGTGTCTAATTTGAAGCCGGTGAAGTTTGCGCTCGTCGGGCCGAGCGAGGCGTTTCTGTGGCCAGGCAGCTGGACGGTTCGAAACGGCACGACAAAGAAACTGATGAAGATGGTCCCCAAAACCACTATGACGATGATGAAGATGAGGAAGGTGGCTTTAGCATAGATATGAGCCCCGACCAGACACACCAACACACACAGCAGCAGAATCACCGTGCCATACAACAGAGACCACCAGTAACCAGTCGGCAGAACCATGTACCGAGATCCAGACAGCGACAAGCCATCTGAGAGAAATAATAACACAAGCCAACATTAAAATACTCATTAAAATTCAAAACATAAATCTAGCAGAAATAGTGTCATTTTTCATTTTTGAAATTAATTACTCATTTAAAATATTTGTAATTTTAAATTAATGAATAAACAAAACAAACAAATATTTTATTCATTTATGTAACAGCAATTAATAATCATTGATGCTGGAAAATTATAAATAAGTAAATAAATGAACAAACAAATACACTTTTTTATTAATTTAAACAAAAAACAAAAAAATTAAATTATAATTAAATAAACATTATAAATCAATCAATCAATCAATATTTATTCAATTGCAATTAATAGCCATTGATGCTGGAAAATAATAAAAAATAAATAAATATTATATATAAATAATATAAATATAATATTTTATTCTTTTATTTAATTGCAATAAATAGCCATTGATGCTGGAAAATAATTTAAATAAATAAATACAGAAATAAATGTTTTATTCTTTTTTTAAATTGTAATTAATAGCCGTTGATGCTGGAAAATACTAAATAAAAAAAATAAATGTTTTATTTGATTGTAATTAATAACCACTGATGCTGGAAATTAAACAAAAAATTAAATAAACATAAATAAATAAATAAATATTTTTATTCATTTATTTAATTGTAATTAATAGCCATTGATGCAGGAAAATAATTTTTTTAAAATGCTGCAGAATACAACCGAAAATAATCAAGATATGAATATTAAATGAAAAACTTAGACTTAAAAATCAAACAAAATTGAGAAATGTTGCCTTGACAGCTAGCTGTAATATAATAAGTTTAAGGTGAAGTACTAAAACTAAAACTGAAATATAAATAATTAAAACCATATAGAAATATAAAAAGAAATTAAAAATGTAAAAAGAAAAATTTAAACGACAAAAGCACATACAAATTTAAACTAAAATTATAAATTCAAAAATTATAATAATAAATATTATAACAGTATATGAATAATACTAAAATAACACTGTTTTTTGGTTCAAATGTAAGCTAAATTTTGCCACACAGGGGAAATATTTTTATTTATTTTTTTTGCTGGTTTTTAAGAAGTAATTACACACCTCAACCGTGTTGTGAGGCCTTCTGTATAAAAACATTAAACATCTCGAGCAGAGCAGCAGCCTTTATTCTGGTTTGTTGGGATTGTACACCAAACTCCATTATATTTACATTTAATATCGAACCAATGACCTTGGCGTTACTGGCGCCATGCAAGATAATGCATTGCCATCCAAAGATGAGCCAAAAACACTCATGCAGAGTGGACTCATGTGGTTTTGGTCACACTAATTGAACTCATATTTTGCCAATTACCCTTCCATGTGTCCATAGGATCATGCATACCTACACAATTAACATAAACACAAATGCACATGCTACCTTCAGGAATCCCGAAGGTTGTGAGCATTGCCTCCACCAGTCCCAGCACAAAGAGGGCGCTGCCGCACACGTTAGCCAGGAAGAACATGATGCCGATGCTGCCGCCGAACTCTGGACCGAGAGCACGACTGATCATGTCTGTGGATGCAAACACAAGCACACGCAAACACAACAACACAGCTAAGGAAATGAACGACAGGAAGAGTCATGCATGTGTTTATGTTTGTGTTCGTGTGATGCAAGGATACAATACGCTCCTCCGGCGTCCAACGCTCCGTTAGTCGAGATCGCGCACACCGACAGAACCGTCATACTGATGATGAAATACGCCACCAGCAGCATCGCTATAGTCTGATAAAGACCACACTGACCCACAACAAAACCTGCAACACAAAACAACACCAGTTACACCACTGAACACCGTCTTAGCCCTTATATTACGCTCCGGGTCAATTTGACCCGCAACATTTTTGAGCTTCAGAAACACTGGTTAACGCAACAGTTCTCCCAAATGTGCTAAAAATGTGCTCATCCTCAGGCCATCCAAGATTAGGATGAGTTTGTTTCTTCATCAGATTTGGAGAAATGTAGCATTGCATCAGTGTCTCAGCAATGGATGCTCTGCAGTGAATGGGTGCCGTCAGAATGAGAGTCCAAACAGCTGATAAAAACATCACAATAATCCACAAGTAATCCACAGCTCTCCAGTCCATCAGTTAACATCTGGAGAAGACAAAAGCTGTAACAAATCCAGCATTAAGACATTTTTAACAAAAATATGAGTCTATGATCCATAATAACATTTCCTCCAGTGAAAAAGTGCATCTCCTGTTGTCTCTCACATCAAAATCCAGCCACATATTTGTTTAGAGCTGTTTAAACGCTGCTTGATCTGTGCAGATTTCTCTCCTGATTCACACCAGAAGACTTATACACTTCTGCTTTTGTCTTCTCCAGATGTTAACTGATGGACTGGAGTGGTGTGGATTACTTGTGGATTATTGTGATGTTTTTATCAGCTGTTTGGACTCTCATTCTGACGGCACCCATTCACTGCAGAGCATCCATTGCTGAGACACTGATGCAGTGCTACATTTCTACAAACCTGATGAAGAAACAAACTCATCCTGATATGGGATGAACTGAGGGTGAGCACATTTTCAGATTATTTACATTTTTGGGTGAACTATTGCTGTAACCTAGAATGTTTTTCTTCAAATTGTGTCTTTTTTTCCTCATTTAAAGTCACAAACATGCAGACAAAGTTTAGACACTCACATAACAGGCATTGTGGAATGTGCGTACGAAATTTCTATTACAATTATGCTGTCAATTTCTGGCCAATTTGATCTGCAAACAGGTTGCATTCTGACACACTTCAGCTTTAAAACAGCAGTAAAAGTGTCCTGACTGCACTTTAAACATAAACCGATGCATCCTCAGTCTCGCTCTCGTGTAGTTCATTCACAGATCAGATGTTCTAGATTAGTGCTGCGCTCAATGGGCCTCAGTCACAGCAGACGTGATTCAGAGCCGTGCTGTGAAGGCTGTTCAATGAGCTGCACTCATCCCATGAAAAACTGAAAATGTCTTTCCAAAAAAATGACAATGAAGAACAAAAAACCTAGATGACATTTCTGCAAACAGGTTGCATTCTGACACACTTCAGCTTTAAAACAGCAGTAAAAGTGTCCTGACTGCACTTTAAACATAAACCGATGCATCTTCAGTCTCGCTCTCGTGTAGTTCATTCACAGATCAGATGTTCTAGATTAGTGCTGCGCTCAATGGGCCTCAGTCACAGCAGACGTGATTCAGAGCCGTGCTGTGAAGGCTGTTCAATGAGCTGCACTCATCCAATGAAAAACTGAAAATGTCTTTCCAAAAAAATGACAATGAAGAACAAAAACCTAGATGACATTTCAAACAATCATGCTTTTTAATGCACATTATAATGCATTGTATGATCTCATGAATAATTGTAACCACAATTATAATAATTATCTATTCATTATTATTACACATTTAGAAAGTATAATGCATTAAAATATCACAATCAAACCTTCAAATATTGTAATGCATATTACAATTATTTATGAAGAGATATAATGCATTACACTGCACATTATGAATACATTTATAATGCATTGTATATTAAGGCTTTTAGTAAAGTGTTATTGAAACTTCTTTATGCTGTCTGACTTGTTCAAACTGATTTTTCATATTTCCACATTATGCATGAATTATGATACTTCACATACAAATATGCAAATACACACACGCAGAACGGAGAGAAGTTGTTTGTGTGAGTCCAGGTTTCAAGTCAACATGAAATAACGTTTGAAATCATTTTCTTCCGAAACTTCATGTACTTTATAGAATGCAAGAAGATATTCAACAACTTCAAACAAAAACACAGAGCAGGACTTGTTTTAATCCATGCTTAGATTGCAATGCATTATGGGCAATCTGCACAATCTTTTGACCAGGACTAGTTTAGCATGCATTATTATTTGATATTATTGCTGTGACTTTTTTCACGTTAACCAGCATTAAATTACTAAGAAACTACTAATTAAAGATTTTTTTTTTTTAAATGCATCACCTAAATCAGAAGTCTAAAAAAATTACACAGACTGTAAAAAAAAAAAAAATTTCTAAGCTGTAAATAAAATAAAGTTTACTGGAATATGTTTTATGAAATACTATTTCAGTCTTTCTACTTCAAAATTTAATGTTGATTTCAATGCATTTTATCTTTTATCTAACTTTTTTATCTTTAATATTTATATCTTTAATTTATACTGAAATATTTAATGTGTGAGAAAAAAGTCAGAATCGTGAGCAAATTAAATATTTAAATATTAAATTAAAGATAAATATTAAAAATATAAACTCACAAGAAAAAAAATTACTTTATTTTTTTATTCTATGGCGGAAATAAGCTTCCATACCACACAACCAAGACAAACATCAATACAAACTAGTTTTTAGGACAACATTTTTTTTTCTCTGGAATGATGTGAATCTTATGCATCTTCTTCCCAATAAGAGCAGGAACATGCATTAAAAACACACAGTCAGTTTTGCTTTCATGTGACTTTGCTAACATGCAACGTGTGAGTGTGCGTGTGTGTGTGTGTGTGTGTGTGTGAGAGAG